GCTTTTATTTTTCAGATTCACGAAAATATATTGTGTTACTATGTTTCACTAAATTCTTGGAAGGCAGTGGGACTTTTTGAATCATATGATCTCCTAAAAGCAGTTCACATTGTTCAGTTCATTTTTATATTAAAGCTTGGGTGAGTGTGTATGGTTCTTTTTTTCCTTAATGTTTTTTTATTTCTTTGAAAATCCTGTTTTAACTGAGTATATTTAGGAAATTTTATGTGGAATATTTTGAAATAGAATATCTAAGGTTAGCAGTACAAGGAGATTGATTAAAACAATAAATAAATAAATAAAAAGCCCTGGCCAGTGTGGCTTCATTGGTTAAAGTGTTGTCTTGTATACCAAAAGGTTTCCGGTTCAATTTCCAGTTTGGGCACATACCTGGTTTTCAGGTTCGATCCCCAGTCGGAGCACATTGATCTTTCTCTCTTTCTCTCTCTCCCTCCTTCCCTCCCCCCCTCCCTCTCCCCTTTCCTCTCTCTCTAAAATCAATAAGCATATCCCTAGGTGAAAATTTTTTTTACAAAAGGGATTGTTATACTCTAATAGCTTGCCAAAAACATAGACTTTTACCTTCATTTGTGTTAAGGAGGGTTTGGAAAATTTCTGCTTAATTGAAGACAGCTAGATTCTCATTCTGTTTCAGCCACAATCTGTTGCAGTATCTTAATGTCAGCTAGCTTCTGAAAGCTCCCTGTATACCCCTGAGGGAATAAGAGGCAAGCAAATAATTTATTAGTTTATGTAGAGATAGACGCCCTAAAAGGGTCTCAGGGGCCCTAGGGATTCCCAGGCCATACCACCAGTATAGTCCAATCTTCCAGCAGACATAATCTTCCAGCAGGCATAGAATGTTACAGATGTTCCTTATTTTCTAAGATAAACTATGCTGGGCTATGTTCACTACATGTTTCCTTCACAGTACAGGATCCTTATCCTATATAATAAAAAGCTAATATGCAAATTGACAAAATGGCGGAATGACCAGTTGCTATGATGCGCACTGACCACCAGGGGGCTGACGCTCAATGCAGGAGCTACCCCCTGGTGGTCAGAAGCCCTGAGCTGGGCTCACGGCTGGCGAGCACAGTGGCAGTGGCAGGAGACTCTCCCACTTTCGCGGCAGCACTAAGGATGTCCTGGAGTGGGCCTAAGCCATCAATCGGACATCCCCCGATGGCTCCATACTGCGAGAGGGCACAGGCCGGGCTGAGGGACCGCCCCCGAGTGCACAAATTTTGTGCACTGGGCCTCTAGTATAGTATAAATTTAACATTCTGCATATAGTAAGAAATTCTCTCTAAATAAAGATTCTCTGGACCTTGAGATTGATAGTGATCACCCTCTGTGTTAATAAAAATATGTTAAGAACTCCTGGGAGTATAATTTTAGTAATAATTATGGAAAGTGATACTAGACTAGGAAATTTTAAGCAATATTTGTATGCATTTTTATATAACTACTAGAGGCCCGGTGCATGAAATTCGTGCACTTGGGGGGGGCGTCCCTCAGCATGGCCTGCACCCTCTTGCAGTCTGGGAGCCCTCGGGGGATGTCCAACTGCTGGCTTAGGCCCTAAGCCGGCAGTCAGACATCCTTAGCGCTGCCGTGGAGGCGGGAGAGGCCATGAGCCCAGCTTCTGGCTGAGCAGCGCTCCCCCTGTGGGAGCGCACTGAGCACCAGGGGGCAGCTCCTGCATTGAGCATATGCCCTCTGGTGGTCAGTGCGTGTCATAGCGACCGGTAGTTCTGCCGTTCAGTCAATTTGCATATTGGCCTCTTATTATATAGGATTTTGGGAAAGTGAAAGGTAAGGACATATAATTAATACTTTATTCATTTCTATTAAGATTTGTTATTACTAAATTTTGGATAAAATTGGGATTATTTTCTTTGGTATTTCAAGTATGAAATAATATCCTTTTCTTTTTTGGCTTTTGAACTGGTTCAGAAGGCAACTGCAAAAAAAAGAGTCCCAAAATGTTGCAGTGGCTGCCTTATTGAAATTAGTATTGTCTGGCCACTGTGGCTCACTGGTTGAGCATGAACCAGGAGTCAATTCTGGGTCAGGGCGCATGCCTGGGTTTCAGGCTTAATCACCAGTAGCGGGCCTGTAGGAAGCAGCTACTGGTGATTCTCTCTAATCATTGATGTTTTTCTCTCTCCCTCTCTCTGAAATTAAACACACACACACACAGTATTGTTCTTTAGTATAATTTCTTTAGAGGTTAACGTACCTCTAAAGAACTTTCAAGTTCTAGTGTATGTATTTATCTAAAATAAGTGTCTTTACTTAAAACCAAACCTTGAATTTAAGATTGATTAATATATTAATGTTTCAATATTCACAGGACTGCATTTCTTATGGTTTTGTTTCAAAAGCCATTTTCTTCTGGAAAAAGTATTACCAGACACCAGGTGAGTTTTTTGCTGAATCCTTTTCCCTAGCTGCTTCCCAGTCAGTAGGCCAGATGACAGTGCTCTTTCCTTGATCAGGGTTACTTAACAAATAATTTAAGTGCAAAGCAGAACATTCCCAAAGTTAGCTTGTCTATTCAGAATTGGAGCGTCAAGAATGAACTATGAAGTTGTAAGATAATGGAATTTTTAAAAATGCAGAAAAGGCTAGAACATTTTTAAAACATGCATATGATTATTTTTTTTAGTGCAGGATCTTTTTTCTGAAAGGTTTACAAGTCAGACATGGAGACATGACCCAGAGCCTATTACAAAGTCATTTGACTTAAGTGGAAATAATAATACCTCCCTTCCATAGGAATAAATGAGTTTATACATATAAATTCTTAAAATAGTGCCTAACATATAGAGTATGCAATACATACTATGTCACCCTCGTCATCATTATCATTATTCCCTTTAGGCATCTGAGGTTCAAGATGCATACCAGAAATGTCCTTCATTCTGCATAATCTCATATTACCACCTGTTTGGATAGTAGTTAATCCCCTATTACATGTTTGCTTTTGGAAATCTGTGCCATGATTTTTTATTAGAATGGCAAATTAAGTACCTCTGTTTTAGAGACCAAGGTTGTTTTTAAAAATAGGATTAATATTTTAAAACACATCATAACTTTTCTTCTCTCTCTTCAAATTATTGAAGCACTTACTATTCCTGATGGAAAAGAATTTAAAGACTAAAATATTAAATGTTCCTAGTACATTAGTGATAAACTAAGTGGGAGGGAACGGAAAATTGTACTGTATAGAAAAAGATTTCAAGATCCAACAGACTCCTGGAAACCAGAATACTGTCTTCAAATTCAAATTTAGTTAAAGGATCTTAACATTTTCTATTAAATTTCAAAATATGTAATTAGCCTTTAAAATATTTGTATTACCATTATTATATTTCCCTATGTGTATTAAGATTTTCAGATATTTATGACTGACATTTTTAATGTTTTGTTTCCATTTATAGTGGATCAAAATATTTAAACATGCAGTTGCTGGGTGTATCATTTCACTCTTGTGGTTTTTTGGCCTCACTCTTTGTGGACCACTAAGGTAAATAAAAATATATATTTTGAATGCTTGTTTATATCTCTTCATTTTGAATATTAGTTTTGTTCCATTAGATTTTATGTCAAATATTTGTGTCAAAATACATACAAATGCTTCTATGACTTCTATAGCATTGGGTACAACTCAACAAATATATAGGGCTTGCTTTTCTTTATAGTTTTACCATATATGTACATATTTCTTCTTCTTTTTAATGGTTAACTTTGCAAGTTTTTTACTTGCATGTATTTTTCTGCAGCATACTTTTTCCATTGGGCTGCTATAACCAAGTACCACAGATTGAGTGTCTTATAAACAACACATTTATTTCTCATAGTTCTGGAAGCTGACAAATTCACGATCAAGGTGAGATATATTCAGTATTTGGTAGAAGAAGCAAGGGAGCTCTCTGTGGTCTTTTTTATAAGGGCACTAATCCCATCCATGAGGACTCTACCTTTAGGATACATTAGGGATTGGGTTCAACATATGAATAGGTTGGGGGAGGGCACACAAATATTCAGTCTATAGGACTTTTAAAGTGTACAATTTTGTATTAGTATATTCATGGAATTTCATTCATTCTTACTGCTGTATAATATAGTCCACTAAATGGATATATTCTAATTTACATCATCTATCTTAACAGGTTATTTCCAATATTAGGCTACTGCAAACAATGCTGGTGTCTTTATAAGTGTTCCCAAGTACACAAATACAAGAAATCTGTATGATATAATTCTATGAGTAGTACTGTTGAGTATTTATAGCTTCAGCCTTTCTAAAGTAGATAATGCCAAAATATTTTCCAAAGCCGCTATTCCTATTTTTCTCATAATGTTTTGTGAATCAAGGGGAAATATTTCTTTTCTTTCACTCTAGTTGAATTAATGCTTTTTTATAAAGATCAGATATATTTCACGAATGATATGTTTTATTCTTGTAGGACTTTGCTGCTATTTGAACACAGTGATACTGTTGTCATCTCCCTACTCAGTGTTTTGTTCACTGGTTCTGGAGGAGGACCAGCAAAGGTAGAATTTTCCATTATTAGCTACTTGAAAATTGAAAGTATACACTTGAAATGTTATCCAAAGCAACAAAATAGTATATTTTAACATTTGAAAGAATGCAGGGGCTTTTTCTATTAATTTTACATTTTTCTTATAACCTTTTTGGCATCATTATATATTCCTAGAAAGTTGCATAAATAGTAGAGTAGTCTTTGTGCCCTTCACTCAGTTTCAGTAGTAACTTCTTACCCAACTCAATTATACTGTCAAAACCAGGAATTGACATTGGTACAATCCATAGACCTTATTCAGTTTTCACCAATTTTAAATACACTCATGTGTGTTTATATGTGTAGATTCGGGTAACTACTGCCACAATCAAGATACAGAACTGATTGATCACCACATCTCCTTTATGCTATACCTGAACCCTTTCCCACCTAGTTTTTAATCCCCAGACATCATTTTTGGAAAATACCTAAGAACCTTATTTAAAGTTTGATGAACATTTTTTATGAATATTTATACAGCATTTTGCCAACTAGGCATCCCTATTCAACTTATAATTTAAGTATTATTTTTAGTAAATGAGTCATCCATCTGTAATTCCAGTTCTTACAACTGCAATATTGCTATTTACCAAATTAAATGTTTCCTATGCATGGTACACTATTCTGGTTATAGGGGAAAGGAAAAACAAAATATAATAGTCCCCTTAGACTTTCAGGCTAAGTAATGGAGACAAGATGAATAAAATAAAGTAACGTGCCAAGTACAGAGTGAGAGACTGTAGATTCCACATTGGATCATTAATATTAAAGCATATGCCACTGTATAAGCTTCTCCCCTAACTTACAGAGTACTCCAAAATAAATGTCAAGTGAATTGAAGAGTTTTGTGGAAGATATTTGTAAAAGCATAAAAGCAGTAGGGAAAATATCACAAAGTCACTTTGTAAGGTATATAAATGTCTAATCACTATGTTGTACACCTGAAACTAATATAATACTTTATGTTAACTGTAATTGAAAAATAAATAATTTTTAAAATCACAAAGGGAAAATTCAATACATTTAAATTTAACTTCATAATGATTACAGGCTTTTATATAACAGAAATCATTTTGCAAACAACAAACTAACACAGCAAATTGCCATCAAAAAAAGCT